AGAGGGGTGCAACAATGAATGAATGGAATCCCAAAATCTCTGTAGATGTTCATTGAAATGAAAAATAAACAACCTAAATTAAACACACACACACACACACACAAAATGTATTTTCAATGAATAAATCATTGAAAACAAAAAACATTTAAAAAAAAAAAACCCAAAACAAAACCAACCCCAAAATGATGGGCCATTCTTTCTGGTGTGATTTAGTCTCTGAAAACGCCCTGGATGGTTAGAAATCAATCAGTTCCGACTTGACAGCAGTGAGTTAAGGCATATATCAAAATGTTACAATGTGAATTACCTTCAGGTGGACTTTGTTGTATGTTGTTTACATAAGATTAAAATATTTTGCATTAAAAATGAATTCTAATTGGATAGTTCTGGTGGCTTGGTGAGGAGCTGGGCTGCCAACCCAGAAGTAAGCGGTTTGAATTCATCAGCTGCTCCATGGAAGGAGGATGGATAGTCTCTTCCTGCTTCAATAGCACATAACAATTCTAACTAAAAATTTAAAAAGGTTGCGTACATCTGTGCAGATCTCAGGGGATCCTGGGGTCAGGCAGGAGAAGTTCGTATCTGGAGGCATCTGCAGGGGCCAGACCAACTAATGGAGTTAACTGAGAACAGGGAATTATTTGCCCTCCAAGGGGGAAGATGGTGCCCAGCACTGAGACCGGCCTGGGCCTCTGAGGCTTGCGCTTACTTCCCCCCACTTCAATCCCACAGCACTTCCCTAAGCCTGTTTGTCCTGGGCGCGCGCGCACACACACACACACAGGAGGGGAGGGGAGAAAAAGAAAGGCAGGGACAGACAGAGACAGATGCTCTCACTGGAAGCCACCTGCTACTGTGCATGAGCCCCTTCCTGAGGACAACACCTTGTCCTTCTGCTGTGGCCCCAGTACCCAGCGTGGGCTTGGCACATAGCAAACCCTAGCACCAGATGCCCTTGTGGAGTAGCAGCATAATGTAGTGAGAAGGAAGGAGCTGCCATGCCGTGTGAGGGCCAGGGACCCCAGAGGCTGGGCTCAGGAGGCATTCTTCCAGGTATTTGGTGATGTGCAGTGTTTCTATCATTGAAAAATCTTGAGGTTTTTCTGTGTGTGGGTTTTTCCCCCCTAAAAAGAAAGCAGTTGCACTGGGGGATCAGCAGACAACTGACAACTCAAGTTTGGGGTGAACATGGTGCAGATCGTCCAGGCTCTAGAGAAACTAGGCCACTGGGCCAAGCCCCTTTCTGTGTTGGAGAGATGGGTGTCATAGGGTGCTGGGTAGCCCAGGCCTGGCCTACTCACTGGTGGTGTCTCCCTCCCTCAGCTCGCAAGCAAGAAATCATTAAGATTACGGAGCAGCTCATCGAAGCGATCAACAATGGTGACTTTGAGGCTTATGCGTGAGTGCTAGGGGCAGTAAAGGGTGGGCAGTAAGTTGTCCTCTATTCTGCTACACTATTCAGGGTAGAAGGCAGCCTGGAAGCAAAAGAATACTTTCCTCACTCTTGTTTGCCTTACAGGAAAATCTGTGATCCAGGCCTCACCTCCTTTGAGCCTGAAGCTCTGGGCAACCTAGTAGAAGGGATGGACTTCCACAGATTCTACTTTGAGAACTGTGAGTGGATAGACGTTTGGAGTGGAGGTTGTCGGGCTCAAATTCCAAGTGAATCCTGTCCTTTGGGTGAGGGCGGTCATTACCCCCCACTGCCCTGGGACTCTGGAGGGCCGCTAGCATAAAGAGGGAACAAGTACAAGGAACTGCTCTGTCCTCCTTGTAGTGCTCGCCAAGAACAGCAAGCCGATCCACACCACCATCCTGAACCCGCACGTGCACGTCATAGGTGAGGACGCGGCCTGCATCGCCTACATCCGTCTTACGCAGTACATTGATGGCCAGGGCCGGCCCCGCACCAGCCAGTCAGAGGAGACCCGCGTGTGGCATCGCCGCGAGGGCAAGTGGCAGAACGTGCACTTCCACTGCTCAGGCGCGCCCGTGGCCCCTCTGCAGTGAGGTGAGGTGAGGCGCAGCATTCTAGGACAGGTGGATGATGGGGACTGGCAGGGTTCTCTCAGGGGCCCAAGGGCTTCCACTGGGAAGAGAAGAAAGCCTTCTTGTCCTAAGACAATAAGGCTGCACTCATAAGGGAAGGCTAATGTGTGTCCCCAATCCTGCCACCTTCTACCCAGAGCAGAGAAGGAATTGTGGCAGGATCTTCAGGTTTGGAAAGCTCAAAGTGAGAGGGCTCACCTGAGCTTCCAGGTTGACTTGACAGCTAGGGAAGGGTCTTGCCACACATGCCATAATGTTGGGCCCCACAACCCAAAGGTGAAGGAAGGGTGCAGATGTACTATTTCCTGGACAAGCAGCAGACACAAGAGAGGACAGGGATAGTTCTATGAACAGTAGTAAGCAGTGCTCACCAAAAGATCTTGAGGCCACTCAGAGTTGGTAAGAAGCAGTCATAGCAGCCCCACAAGGTCACTCACTGTAAGCAGTGGTCACCACAGCACTGAGGTCAGTCAGTTTAGTAAGCAGTGGTCACTGCAGCACCATAAGGTCATTCACAGTTAGTAAGCAGCGGTCACACCACCATGAGGTCAGTCACAGTAAGCAGCAATCACTGCAGCACCATGAGGTCAATCATGGTTAGCAAGCAGTGGTCACTGCAGCACTGTGAGGTCAGTCACAGTAAGCAGCGGTCACCACAGCCCCATGAGGTCTGTTGTTACAGAGGAGAGCGTGCACAACCAATCACCTGAGCCAAGTCTCTGTCCCAGTGTTGAGCCTCCCTATGGATGCCCAGAGACCTGTTTTAAGGGTCCCTGCAGCACTAACTGCCCTGCCCGCCTTCATTTCAGAGCTGTCCACTTGTGTTCTTATCCTGGTGGAGTTGGTGTTTGGAGCCAAGCCGCCCTCGGGGGCGCACGGCCTGCCTGTCGCATGTTCGTGTCTGCCTCGTTCCTTTCCCTGGTGCCTGTGTCTGCAGAAAAATCAAGATCAGATGTGATTTTTTTTTTAAATATAAACTAAATGACAACCAAGGGAAAAGAAAAAAATGACATCAGATAAAGTAGGGAGGGGGGAGGGAAAAAAAACCAAGAAAAAAAAAATCTGTAAAATTCACTGGTGTTTGTGGGGCTCTGAAACTACCCAGTCGCTCCTCCCATAGCTCCACACATCTGCCCTGTGCCTCGGCCTCCAGTGACAGGTGGGGCAGTGATAGTATCCACAGGGCACCCTCTGCTGTCCCCCATGTTGAACAGTGTTAGTTTGATAGGTGACCCACACATCCCCTTATCCCTCAGTGAACGCAGGCATCTGCATTCTCTGCCAGTGCATGGGCCTCTGCAGTAATGTGCTTGCAGTAGCTGCTGTGAGCTATAAGGAAGGAGTGTCCCTCTGGGCCTCCCTTTCTCTGCTACTTACGCCTGAGAGCTGCTGTTCTCTTTCCTTCTGCCCATTGGCCTTTTTAGCCCTGTGAAGGGATAAGTGTGGGGCTTCTCTGTGCCCAAATTCTTATCCTCAGCTATGAATGACACATGCCAGCAGTCAGCCCAGGACCTCTGCCGCTGCACTGGCTTCCTGGCTGGGCCCATGCCACTACCCTCAGAGGATGAGAGAGAGCAGAGAAAGCTAGAAGTGACTAGGGGCTTGGCTCTACCAGGCTTCAAGGGCCCAAGAATCCTAGGGGCTTCCAGCTGTGGTCCTCCTGTGTCCAGTGAGATGCAGAGTGGAGTGTACGTCCATATTTCTGAGTCTGGCTAAGGCAGGCCCTCCCTCCTCTGGCCAGGCCCTCTTGGTCAGCTACATCCTTGTGTGAAAGCAGCCTCGCAGAAGGTATGTGGATCTCACATCCCGGCTGTACATCACCTCCCACAGCTGGACCACTGGCTCCAGGTTTGTGTTGGTAGATGTAATAAACAGCAAAGGGGGCAGAAAGCAGAGTTATTTGGCTGTGGAGTCACCTGGTCTGAACAGCGTCTTCCGAAGTAGGAATGTCGAAAGCACCAGGGTCTGGAAACAGTGGGAGTAGGGCCTACAGTTGCTCAAAAGCCAAGGTCAGAGGCCCTGGAGCACAGCACAACTTCTCAGTGTATGAATCAGCAGTTAAGAATCTAAGAGCTGGCCAGAAGTGGAACAGGGGTGCTGTTCCCCAACCCAACCCAACATCACAGCCCCTGCTTTAGTGAGTCCACAGCATCTTCTAGCCAGGCCTAAAGGCAGCCAAGATCCTGCAGTGAGAAGGCAGGAAGTGGGCAGGAAGGGAGCACGGCCAGAGTGGCCCCCGTGGAGACCCAATGAAGGCCCAGCATGGACACTTGGGAGCAGGGCCCAGGAACTGGGACTGGGGAGATCTACCAGTGGCCAGTGTGGTGGGTGGGAAAGTAGCATACACCACAAGGCTGTACCTCTGAAGCCCAAAAAGCACAGCTGTGGACACTGGATACTGCCTGGTGGGCTGGTACTGTGTGGGGTAGGCAGTAAGACCCTTTTGCAGAGAAGAACTCAAGGAGCCAGCTGAGGTGCCAGTAAGGCAAAGACCCAGGGGAGGACCCTACCAACACCAGACACCTTCAATTCAGGTTGCTATCTTCCCCGTAAAACTCAAGCCAAGGAAGGGGCATGGAGTGGGAAGCAGGCCCAAAATCTCACCCTCAGAGTGCACAGCCCCTGCCCCTCTGTGGACCCAATAACCATCCCCAGGCTCTTAAGCCTGGGGTCCTGGACCCAGGCAGCAGCCAGGTCTGCCACTGCTTCACTCTTTCTACAGAGTTCTTGACTAAGATCATTGGTTTTTTGGTTTGTTTTTTTCTGGGGGGCAGTTCTTTTGCATGATCTGTACATTGCTACTAGGTGTCTGCGTGGCCCACTGGGCTGTGAGGGCATTCAGGGGCGCACCAGCCGCCTCTATGCCGGCAGACCTTCCTTTCTCTTTTTGCTGAGTTTTACTGTCTTTTCTTTCTGAGCCTTGTAAGTGTACAAAATTTATTTATTTTGTTGTCTTGGGAACTGCAAATAAAAACAGGACAAACTTCTTCATGCACAGCTGGGTGGTTTGTGATGTGACCTGCCAACACCACCCCACCTCAGATCCAGAAGTGTGGGCTATTACTATGAGTCTACCTAGGGAGGGGGAGGAAGGGAAGGCGAGGCCAGTGTGCCCAGCATGGCCCAGACCTGCGTGGGTGCTCTGTGCAGGCCTGGCCAGTCCCTCCACATAATCTGAGCTGACCCGCTGCCCTACACTCAGAACTAAACTCCAGGGGAAGGGGTTCCTATCGTTAACTGTGCTAAGTCCTTCAGTTTAGTCCATCTGACATCTGTCCACAACCCACTCAGGCTAGATCCACAGTAGAAAAAGCCCGCAAAGTCTTACCCTCAACCCAACATGGAAGGTAGAGACAAAATGACAGACACATCGAGGGCAGTCCTAGAAGCCAATGAATAAATGATGGAAGCTGATCCACTGGCCAGACTCTGTCCACAGCCACCTGCCCCTGGGCTGTATCATCCAGCTATTCCCTGTACAATTAGATTAGGAAGCACCTACTTAGCCCTTCTACTCATCCACATGGCATTGAGACCTGGGCCAGAATAGGCCTTGCCAACTGCCTGTGTACTACCTTCTACTTCACTACTTCAGACAGAAACATGGGGTTCCAGACCCTTCCTCTTCACCCACAGCTGTTTCATATGGCTCTGCTTAGAGTTGGAACAAGGGCAGAAGCAGCTCCAAGGACCCTAGAAGCAGCACAATCCCAGTCTATTCTACTGTTCCAGATACCTGGTCACAGGCATTCTCACAACTGTGGAGTCTAAGTACCCCAGCAGCCCAAATGCAGGGCCCAAAAAGCAGAGAATCTAAGTCCATGCCTCCTAGACAGAGTGCTGTATTGAGGCCTCCATGCATCCATCAACTACAACCAGAACCCCAGCTTCTTCAGCCAAGACTCATTGGAAGGTGAGTCATAAAGTGATCACAGGGGTGGAGGTTTGAAGCTCTGAAGTAAGTCCTTGTGCACACACAAACTGTGAGGTTATTTTTAGACTGACCAGGTGAGAGCCACGCTGCCACATCCTTGGGCAGCCTCACACTGGGAAGGTGCTCCATCAGTCACTTAACGAGCTTTCCTTTAGGAACAACTCCCTATAGGCACCCTACCACCTCGGAGCAGAAACAGGACTGTCTCCAGGTAGCCCAACTTTTTCAGTGCTGTTGTGCTGGAACTAATTCATAGCTGAACCACCAGTAGTTTTTCTGAGTCTACAAATCACATAGGAGACTGCACCTCTTTCCCGCTCCCTGACACCCCAGGAGCTGCTGGTGATTTGAATCACCCACCTTTCGATTAGCAGTGCAGTGCCCTATGGATGAGACCACTAAAGCTCCCTATGCAGCCCAGGTAGCCAGAAAATCTAAGCTAGAACAGGGCCTGCCATAGTCAGACAAGTCAAATTCACTCACAAGGGTCTCTTAGCTGGTTTTCCTTCATTCACAGACCAGCCAGTGCAGGAGAAGTTCTGGACCACAGGCAGTAATGCTGTGGCTGGCCCAGGGATGCAGCTGGGCCTCCTGCCTGTGGCATCCACCAGGGAATAGGATGCTGAAACAACTTTCTACCTAAGGGTTCCCTTACTTGGTTAAGAGGAGAAAGGAACTAAGGGTCCAGAAAGAAAACAAGTAAAACTGCCTGGGAGGCTACCTCTTGTCTCCCCCCAGCTGCTTCGAGGCAATCTAAAGCCCAGCCAATAAAGCCACAAAACCAGACAAGATTTTAGAAAATGGAGCTTTATCCAGACAGGAACTTCTCAACCAGAATAGAGATGAGTTAGGCAGCAGTTAAACACTCTGTCACAAATCAGCACACAGAAGCTGGATGTAGGGAAGAACAGCCTTTGATGCCAGTTATGCCACCCTCAGGGAATGACCCCACCATACATGGCCCAGGCACTCTATACCTGACCTCAAGGCTGGGCAGCAGATGTAGGGATCATCTCACTCTTCTACTCCATATTCACACTTATCCCCAGAGTGTGAGAGAGGATCCTTTCCACTTATCCCCAGAGTGTGAGAGAGGATCCTTTCTCCTCCTGGATGCAGGCTAGGGTAAGAATTAAAAAGGGACAAAAAGCCACCAGCAGCCAAAGAATGGTCAGTGTCTCTTCTAGTAGGGAGTGCAGTTGCAAAAGCCATCTCCCAGGTATGAGAAAGGGGTGGTGCCTCAGCTCTTGACTGGGGGCCTCATGGCTACAGGAAAATTGTAGGCAGGCAAAATGCCTGGGACAACACCTCACCCTCGGGATTCTGGGCAGAATCCAGGCTGGTTTCCATCCCAACCCACCCTATGAAAGTAAACTGCCTGGCAATTTTAGGGTGGGAGCTTCCAGGTGGTCAGGAGCCAGAATGGCAAAGAAACAAAAGCTCCAGGGAAAGGATCGATCCCAAGGATGAGGCCGTGCTGGTTTAAAATTTGGTAAGATGGCACCATCTTAGCAGAGCCTTCATGCAAACAGGATTCTAAAGCACAGTGTCCCCCAAAAGCACAGCCAAGCATAAAAAGGGCAGTGTAGAAGATGGCCTTGTGGCCTGGGTAGGACCAAAGCACCTAATGAAGCCTGGGCCTCTCACAGGCTCTTCTCCAGCACTGGGCAGTGGCAGCCCTTCTACTGGACAAAAGGGACTTCTGAGCCCCAGGAAGATAGGCAACCTGCCCTCCACCCTTCACAGCTGCCTCTGGCAAGAAGGGGGACCAGAGCAAGCCCTCAGCAGGTTCCTCTGGCCACATAGCTCTTCTCTCAAGCCAAGGAACAGGATAAAGAAACAAAGAGTGATGTCACTTGTTTACAGAGCAGGGGCCTCGGTAGTTGTAAGACAGGAAGCCAGAGGAATAAATCAAAGGCCACTTAGAGAATCACTGAGGACACCCTGCTCTGTTTCAGATATTCAAGGTATAATCAAATTACAACTCCAATTAGATGCCACTCAGGAAGCACTAAGAACACTGATTAGGAGTCCCCCAAAGATGACTTCCAGTGGACTACCCCGAACATGGAAGAAAAAAAAAATCCCATTTTCCTGGGCTTATTTCCCAACTTGCTGGCTGAGATGGGCTCTGAGTATTTATATCACAGCATCTCAGCTCTTCCAAACACCTTAACCAAGTCAAAGTCATCTCTGTGGTACTGAATGAAAACATCTGAGATATGCCTTGCCTTCAACAGAAAATGAATCTTCACCAAAAATAGGAACACAACAGTTGTCTGAATAACCTGCAGAGCTTCCTCAGGCAACTAGCCCGTCAACAACAGCCATGGCACTGGTCCATGATCCCAGTCTTGCCGCTGTCACCTGAAGAGGCTGTGCCAAAACAGCAGGGTCTTCAAGCATGGCCAAGCCCAGGCCTATAGCTCACTGCAATCAGGGAACCCCTCCTGCTTACTAGAGTAACTGTCTTCTAATGTTAATTAATACAAAAATGGATCAAGAAAGAGTGGCTTCTGACCTGCTTGTGGTATTCTGCTGAATTCAGGAGCCCATAAACCTGTCCAGGGGAGCAAGCACATGTGTGAAAACAGAGTCCTTCAGCAGTATCTACAGGAGTCACTCAAAGTTTATGCTTTCATTTGGCCCAAAAAATATGCTTTGGGGGCTTCAAATTATCTTTCCAGAAATTACAACTCAACATCTGAATTAGAACACTACCCCGTCCCCACCACCCACCTCAATTTCTCTTGGGAAATTCACAAAATAAAAAATGGAAAGGTGTTCCCAACTCAAGGTCCTGTTCTGGGACGACGTCTTCTTTTCCAGGTGCTTTTACAGTTTCAGTGAATGATGGTGACATTTCCAGCTGAGGGTCTAGGCTGGCCGGCGTCACATGACTGCACAGCATGAATTCTGTTTCCGGGCCTTGTGAAAACCAAAGAATTTTGAAAAGGAGGATTCAGGAGGGCAGTGGCCCAGCACACCCCCAACCCTTCTCTTCACCCTCTACCCAAACTCAAAAAGACAAGAGTATGCTCAGCATGGCAGTATAGGCCTCAGACAGGCACCTGTAGAATCTCTGAACCGGGCTCTAACCCACCACTGATTTCCCTCTAACACTTTAGAGCTCCCTGCACCAGAACAATGGAAGCTTTTCAGGAACCACCCTGGATCTCTTCTTTTTCTTTATATCCATTAATGCAAACTACAAGGGAGCAAAATTTCTGCTGTTAAGTCAGGTACAAGCTAAGAAACAAAAGTGCAAATTCCATTAGTTAAGTCCCCTAAGTCTGCCTCCACTCTTCTCCACCTCTGTCTTGCTCACATAAGCACAGAAATGCTCCCTACTCGGGGTCCACAAGTAACCACCACAAAGACTTGCTCGTGTGTTCCCTGGTCACAAATAAGTGAACCCTTAACCTTCCTGGACATCTCCCACCAACACATGTGAAGGCGGATATACAAAGTACATCAATCCAACTACTGTTAAAGCAGCAAGTCAACAGTCACTTTCACACATGAAGACATTTATACTGACCTGAGAGAGAAACAGAAATACAATACTACTGTCAGAGAAACATTAACTAAGGGCACAAGCACCTGTGTGTTGTGTTGTGTTGTGTAGACAAATTGCAGAATGGGGAAAATTTGCCTTCAGGGACCTCTTCAAAGTACTGAAGAGCAACGATGTCAGTCTGGAGACTAAGAGACACCTGATCCAGGCCATAGTCTTTGCAATTACTTGCTATACATCAGAAATCTGGATAATGACTAGGGATGGTTAGGAGAATTGATGTTTTTGAGCTGTGGTGCTGGAGAAGAGTACTGAATAGACCATGGACTGATAGGAGAATAAACACATTCATCCTGGAGAGGGTGAGACCAGTCTGTTCCAAGGATTCTGAAGCTTCATCTGACATCTTTGGATATGTTACAAGGAGGGACCAGTCCTTGGAGAGGGATGTCACGCTTGGGAAGATGGAGAGATGGTGCAAGAGAAGAACACCTTCGACAAGATGGATTGATTCAGTGACTGGGGTAGTGGGGGGTAGGTGTGTTGAAGACAAGACTGGCACAGGACAGAGCAGGGTAGAGGGATATTGTACACAGGGTCACTATGAGGCACAAGCGACTCGATGGCACATAACAACTGTCAAGTTGGAACTGACTCATAGCTTACCCTCCAGCAGGTTTTCAACCACACAAGAGTAGACTGCCCTTAAACTCATAACTCTGGGTTGCCAGGGTATCTCCTTACTACTAGGCCAAAAAGTTAAATTATGAGGCTTAACTTAAGCTCAGTCATCAGAATCCGAGCCAGGATCATCGTCCTGGGGAGGAGTGTGTTCTGGTGACACCAGAGTAATGTAATGCCTCACATTATCAGAGTCTCTGTGCCCCTGGGTCTGGACACTCAATGAGGGGGAATCAACCATTATAAAACATTCTGACACTTGTTCTTATAGAAAGTGCCTCCAGAGATAAGTACAGCGCTACTGTTCTGAAGACAGATGTGGGGGGCCCAAGATAGCACTCACAGTCTTATAGAAGGCTTTAGACTGAGTTCCCAGCACTTCCGACTTGGACACCAAGTCATCCAGCTTCTCGCCTCGCTCTAACAAAGACTCCATGGTGTTGTGCTAAATAAGAGAAAGAAAATGTTTTATTCTATTTTAAAAATGAACACTGATATTAACTTCTCATACATGTTCAGTCTTTCCTCTGGACCCTCCCCAATACATGTGCCCTGGAGCACAAACGTCACTACAACTCCAGGAATCTGTACAAGGGAAAGAGCATGGCTGATGTGGCTACAGAAACAAAGAGTATTCCAAATGAAAGAAAACTTTTCCAAAAGGAAATTCTCCCCCTGACAGGCTTCAGTAATTATCACCCTAGGAGACTTCTCTGGCAAGAGAAAGCAGTGAATGAAGCTGTGCTGCATGGCATACCACTCACTGGCCACAGGAGGCAGCAAGCACCAAATACAAGGCCAGTCCAGACTGAGACATGCCACCATATAAAGACCCAGAATGGGGAGCACCAGAACCAAACACCCAGATTACAACAAGGCAGCTGACCTGTTTGCTCTCCATGATGGAGAAGGCCAAAAGGGTGGGCTCTGTGGAGTACACAAGGTCCAATTTCAAAGTGGCAGAAAAGAATTGTCAGATAGGAAAAAAGGACACATCCACTCATTCATTAAAAAGTTTGACTGGGCGTCTCACACGGTTTCGCGCAATCTCACTGCCTGCTTCCTCCTTGGTCACTTAGGTACTTTGGGGAACAAACTGCTGTCTGGCCTGACCATGTAGGACCCCTAAACTCAGGCAATAAGGAGCGCCTGGGCCCCTCGATGGAGGTGAGAAACCATTTACAGAAGGGAACAACAGGCTTCCTCTGTGCTCATTCAGTTATTTTGGGGAACAAAGAGAGCAAAAATATATAGGTGCTTCTGAAAAACATTGCTGTGGATCAACATGGACATCTGAGAGCCGCGGAACCTGCAAGCATCAGTGGAAAGTGTCAGCAGGGTCAAGTGAGCCTCTGTGGAGTGAAGTGAGCCACAGCAGGGAGCAGCAAGCTGCAGAAGGGAGCAGTGAGCCATAGCATGACCCACTGACCAGGAGCAAGCAGGACAGCAGGAAATTTGAGTGAGGTCTCCTCCGTACTCCACTCCCGTGTGCACGTCTCCCACCCCACCCCACCCCTGCCAAGAGTATGTCTGCACGTGCACCCACCCTCAGGCACTCTACCACAGAAATGGCCTGAAAGAAGGAGACTACCTCACTCCCCACACAAGCCCAAATCAGGATATCACCCCCAAAAAGAGACACAGTAGCAATGGATCTCCTGAAGCCAGAAAGTCTGATGGAACATTCTGAAACAGAATTCAAAAGAACAATGACTGAATATTTTCAGTGGGTGAAAAACAAACTTTAAAGAACACTGCAAGCAAAAATAAAGAGGAACTTAAAAAAATAATCCAAAACAATGCAGATAAAACTAACGAGGCATTGGAGGCACTGGAAAAACAAGAAACCATGATCCAAATTATGAGGTCCAATGGTTCAGATGCTGTCAACATGATGGAGGGACACATGACCAGAGTTGAAGAGATGGAACACAGAGTAAGTGAAATACAAGATAGAACTGTCACCTCTGATCTGCTATAGCAAAAAGCAGAATCAAAAAAGAAAGAAAAAGGAGAAAATCTAAGAATAATGTGGGACACCATCAAGAGAAATAACATGCACATCATCGGAATCCCACAACAGGAAGAAGCAAGTTGTGGAAGAATTACTAGAAGAAAACTTCCCAGGTATAATGAAGAATGAGAGAATATATATTCAAGAACTGAGCAAATACCATATAGAATAGACCCCAAAAGAAAAACACCAAGGCATATCATAGTCTAATTGCCAGAATCAAATATAGGGACAGAATTCTGAAAACAGCTATGGAGAAACAAAGAGTAACCTATAAGGGAGAGCAGATAAGATTAGTGCCAATTTCTCAGCAAAAACCATGTGATAAAGAAGACAGTGGAATGACATATATCAAACACTCAAAGAACACAGCTGTCAACCAAAACTACTGTACCCAGCAAAACTGTCCCTAAAGTATCAAGGAGAAATCAAGATATTCCCAGAAAAGCAGAACCTAAGGAGTTTATAAAAACAAGACTAGCTTTACAGGAAACAATGAGAGATGTCCTTGTTACAGAAGTGCCACAGAAAGCAGGATGGGCCAAAATAACTACAATGAGAGCAATAAAACCGTGCCTCTCAATAATCACACTGAATATGAATGGTTTAAAGGCATCACTGAGGAGAAAAAGAACAACAGATTAATTATTTTTAAAATCCATCAATGTCGTCTACAAGAGACACACTTGAAAAATGAAGTTTAAAAATAAAAGGGTGGGGGAAAATGTACCAAGAAAATGGCAACCAGAAAAAACAAGAGTAGCGATATTAATCTCTGACAAAATAAATTTCAATGCAAAACCATCAGAGAGGACAAGAAAGGTCTACATAATGCTGAAAGGGTCAACAGAACAAGAGGACATAACAACAATAAATATCTATGCACCAAATGAAAGACCTGCAAAATATATAAAACAAACATTAACAAAACTGAAAAAAGAAATACACAACACTACTATAGTACTTGGAGACTTCAATACACCACTCTCAAGAAAAGATAGAACTACCAGAAAGAAACTTAACAAAGATACTGAAGAATTAAATCACATAATAAACCAACACAAACCCATATATATTCATAGGCTAAAGCACCCCCCAAAAAGCACAGTATACCTTCTTCAACAATGTGCAAGGAACGTTCTCCAGAATAGATCACATTTTAGTTCACAAGGCAAGCATCAATAAACTCAAAAACATAGAAATAATACAAAGCATCTTCTCAGACCACAATGTTAACAAAATCAGAAATTAATAATAAGAAGATAAAGGGGAAAAAACCCATACATGTGAAAGCTCAACAACACTTTGTTTGAACATGACTGGGTACTAAAAGGGGGAAAAAAATGAAATTAGAAAGTTTCTGCAAACAAATGACAATGAAAACACCACTTACCAAAACCTCTGGGAAACAGCCAAGGCAGTAATCAGAGGTAATTTATAGCAATAAGCAAGCACAGGAAAAGGCAGGAAAAAATGACCAGTGACTCTCTAACCCAACATCTCCAACAAATTGAAAAAGAACAGCAAGAAAACCCAACACCCTTTTAAAAAACTGAAATTATAACAATTAGGTCAGAAATAAATAAAATAGAAAACCAAAAAACAATTGAAACATTAAAAAAAAATCTAGGAGTTGTTTCTTTGAAAAGGTCAATAAAATCAACAAACCACTAGCAAAACTCACAAAAGAAGGAAAACAAATAATCCAAGTAAAAGATGAAACAGACATCACAATAGAACCAACAAAAATAAAAAGGCTAATATTAGAATATTATGAAAAACTATACTCAAGTATGAAAATACATATAAATGGACAAATACGTAGAAATGCACAACCTACCTAAACTGACAAACCAAAATTGAACACTTGAATAGACTCATTAAAAAGAAGAAACTGAAAAGGTAATAAAACAACTTCTAGCCAAAAAAGCCCTGGACCAGATGGTTTTACAAGTGAATTTTATCAAGTATTAACAGAAGAACTGTCACCAATTCTGCATAAACTATTTTGGAATATAAAAGAAGATGGAATTCTCCCAGACTCATTCAATGAAGCAAACATATCCTTGATACCAAAAGCCAGAAAGGACACCACCAAAAGAGACAACTATAGGCCAATATCTCTTATGAACATAGATGCAAAGATCCTGAATAAAATACTGACCAATAGAATCCAATGATACATTAAAGAAATAATTCACCATGACCAAGTGGGATTCATAACAGGTATGAAAGGATAGTTCAATATAAGAAAAATAATCAATGTAATTCATCACATTAACAGAGCAAAGAACAAAAACCACATAATCCTATCAATTGATGCAGAAAAGGCCTTTGACAAAATCCAACACCCTTTTTTGATTAAAACACTAAACAAAATAGGATTAGAGGGGAAATTCTTCAACATAGTAAAAAGTATATATGCAAAGCCAAGAGCCAACATTGTTCTCAATGGAGTGAGGTTAAAGGCATTTCCTTTAATAACAGGAACTAGGCAAGGATGCCCACTATCACCTCTCCCATTCAATACTGTATTGGAAGTCATAGCAATAACAATAAGACAAGAGAAAGAAATAAGTGGCATCCAAATTGTCAAAGAGGAGGTAAAACTATCTCTCTATGCAGATGGTATGATAGTATATTTCAAAAACCCTAAAGACTTAGCAAGAAAACTACTGGACATAGTTGACCAATTCAGCAAAGTGGCAGGATACAAGATCAACATACAAAAATCAGTTGGATTTCTCTACAGTGACAAAGAGAATACAGAGCTGGAGCTCAAAAAAGCAATACCCTTCACAATAGCTAATCACAAGATTAAATATTTGGGAATAAATCTAACCAGAAGCACAAAAGATCTGTTCAAAGAAAATTACAAAACATTGCTACAAGAAACAAAAAGAGACCTGGAGAAGTGGAAGAATATCCTTTGCTCATGGATAGGAAAACTCAATATTGTGAAAATGGCAATACTACCAAAGGCAATTTACACGTTCAATGCAATCCCAATACAAATACCAATCCCATTCTTCAACAAAATGGAAAAGGCAATCTCCAGTTTCATTTGGAATGGAAAAAAAAGTCCCAAATAAACAAAGCACTCCTTAAAAATAAACAAGGTAGGAGGCATCCCACTCCCTGATTTAAAATTCTACTACACTGCCACGGTGGTCAAGACAGTGTGGTACTGGTAAAATGACAGACACAAAGATCAATGGAATATAACTGAGAACCCAGAAATCAGCCCATCTACCTATGGGCAACTGATTTTTTACAAGGAGATAAAATAAGTTAACTGGGGAAATGACAGCCTTTTTAACAAATGGTGGTGGCAAAACTGGAAAACCATCTGCAGAAAACTCAAGCAAGATCCACACCTCACTCCATACACAAAAACCAAGTCAAGGTGGATCATGGACCTAGGACTAAAA